ATGAAATTCTTTATTTTTATTAAAAATATATATTGTAGTTTAGAAAAAATATAAAACTACGAATATATAAAGTTATACGGAACTTAAAAAAAAAAATACGTGACATTTTTTTTTCATATTTCGTAAACTTTGTTTTTTTTTTTTATTATACTTTTTCCTCAAATTGTAATATATTTGAATAAAAACATATATAAAAGTATTTCTTGCCGTGTGGAAACTTGTTTCTCAATGTGCCGCACATTTTTTTCTCAACCCCAGCGTATATACTTTACTTCAAGGAAATTCGTTATTCATCTTAAAAATTCTTGGTGTAAATTTAAACTGAATTTTTAAAAAAAGAAGTATTTCAAAATAAAAATATAATATGAACTAAAGTGAAGATAATTTAAATTAATTAACTTTTTTTTTTTTTTTTTTTTTTTTTAAGTGGAAAGACTCCACATGCGTCGCGACGCATCATCGCTATTCTGTATTTGCCTTGGCGCAAAATCCTGTTTCCACTTTCAAATGCGTGCACGTGGTATTGTCGCAAAATCGAATATACACGTGGGCCTGCAGCGATGAGCAAAGTTTAACTTCGCTTAGTCAGAGTCAGACTTGGAAACATAGAATATAGAAATACGCAAGCAAGGCGAGAGGTAGAGAACGGCAAGAGAGCGGCGCAAACGCGCTTTATCGTCGGCCAATCCGAGTTTTGACCTTGAGCAGCTCTAGAGAGAGAGATATATTTAGCTGTAAGGTCTGTAAGCGGTCGAGCTGTGTGAGAGCTGCTCTTGCAAATGCTGGCCTCAACTCACAATCAGCTACCAACAGATCTTCAAGTATACTTCACTTAAAGTTCTTGCAAAATATAATATTATTCTTCTATTTCGAAATAGAAGAAAAATAATAAATAATTTTTTTTTTTTTTTAATTTTATTTCCAAGAAAAAAATTACACTTTTTTTTTTTTTTCTTGTATAACAATAAAAATTCTTAGTATTGAAAAAGATCCAATTTTAAATTCTATGTTAATTTCGCGCGTGGTTTAAAATTGGAAAGTGTGTGTGTGTGTGGATCGAATATGAGAATTTCAAAAAAGATTCAAGGCTAGAGTTCACGGAGAGAATGTTAATCATATTTGAATTTTCTTTTTTTTTTACCGAGTAAAAATAAATATGCAAAAAAAAAAAAAATTGAAAATTCTGTACCGATCTGCCACGCGGTGAAAAACTTGGAAGCATCCCTTTGGATACGGTCCAAATGTCTTGGGAAGATTTATACAATACGAGAAAATTTGAAAGGGGGCTAAATTTGCAGAAAGTTTTTGGCTTTTGAAATCTAGAGATAGAATATTCTAAGGAACGATTTTTGAATTTTTTTTTTTTTTGGTTATCTAAACTAATATAAAAATAATTTATTATCACAAATTGTAAATGAAATAAATCCAATATACCTTTCAAAATACGAATTGCTATATAAGATTGAAATGCGATCTTGATAAAAGTAAATGAAGCCGATGCAATTCCCTGTTTGCAAGGTCGCATAAGGGTAGCACATTTATTTTCACCGAGCGGAACAGCTGCAATATACAAACTATATATAATAATTTCACTTTTACTCAAAATGTAACTAAAAAAAAAAGTTGCCCCTGAATTTTTAAATTTTATTTTGATCCTTTTATATTTTATTCACCATGAAAATTTTTATTAAAAATATAAGCTCCTCTAAAATTTTCACCCATAGAAATAATTCATTTTTATTTGAGAAAAAATTTATTTGAATCAAATAAAATTATAGAGACGTTATTTGCAACAAATAAATATTTATTTTGCTCTAAAAAATATAATCTTTGAATTAATAAATATTTTTATAAAGAACCATTATATATTTGAAAATGAAAAATATAATACAATTTGAACAATTGTGAAATTATTTTCTAAAAATATTTAACATTTCCGTAAATAGAAAAAAAAAGAAAACTTATTTCGACCGTTACGTGTCAATTGGATATTTCGAAATTACCGTTTCTGTTTCCTGTCGTCGTTTCCTTACATTGGCAAAAACGACACCATTTACAATTTACATTTCTGCCATGTAATATCGACAAGTAGAAACATCTTCCGAGTAATTTCCGTCGCGGTTGTACACAGAGCGAGACGACATGCAGGTCGATAATCCATTTGACTTTATGTGGATGTCATTTGCGAATGTATGACCACTTGGGAGAATACTGTATATATATATACAAATAATATAGTAATTATATTAAGAAAGTCTAGATGAAAAATATATTTTCAATAATAATAATAATAATAATAATAATAATATCGTGTGAGCTGACAATTTACAGTCAAGAATCAACGAATTCTGTTTATATTTCTTGACTCATAAACAGCACTAATGAGTGTCATTTCCTATTCGTATGTTTAAAAAAAAAAATACTTGGACGAATTTTATATGTTAGAATTTATTAATCAGGACCGGAAATAATTAATTTTGTCTTGCTAGAATTTTCAAAATTCTATAATTTTTACTTGAATTTATTTTTCTAATAATTTTGAAAATTATATATTCAAATTATATTTTTGACGAGAGATGGAAAGAGGAAGACATTAAAGTATTAAATTTTGAAAGGTCGAGAGATCTTGGGGCAACATGGGGCTAGGGGACAGAAGATGAGGATGACGGCTGAAACATCGTTATTGGCGAAACAGGCACGCGAATGCGTGCTAGCGTCGAGCGGCAGCAGCGACGAGAGCTTACGAAGGGGACCTCGAATGAGATCGATATCTCGACTCTCTCTCTCTCTCTCTCTCGCTCTCTCTCCGCTCTCTACTCCTGCACAACGTTGGTGGAGCTTCTCCTCGCATAAAAGCTCAAATTCGAATTTTCCCCTACAGACTAAATAAAAAGGAATATTCAACATTTTTTTTTTTTTTTTTGAAATAATAGAGAAAAATAATAATTTCATTTAATAATGAAGATATTATTATTTTGAAATTTAGGTTTTTAAAATGAGATTTTACTATACACGAAAAAAAAGAGAGATGAGAATATTGAATCTGTTCCACGTGAGGACCATTTCAATCCCAGGGGAAGAGAATCTCACTCCAACATAAAATGAAATTTAATCCAAATTAGAGTGAAACTTCATTCTAAAAAACTTATTCTCTTTTTCTTCTTGGAGTAAAGTTTTATCTCTCAACTTGATTAAAATTCTATTGAATTCGAGGGGAATTACATTCTTTTGAATGAAATTCTTCGATTAGAATCACTCACTTCAGGGGGGAAACTGTTATTTATATATATATATAATATGAAAATGATTTAGAATATGTTATTCTACTTGTTAAAAAAGGTAATATCTAACAACAGATTTTTAATTAGCAAAAAATTATGAAACAGATAATTTTCTCTGTGTTTTTTTCATTTTTTTTCTTTTGATTCTGAAATTTTAGAAAAACAGAAAATCTCTTCTATCGGAATAAATTGCAAAATAATTGTTTTCGGAATTTTTTTTTATACTTGGAAAATTTTCTCCGACCTTGCGGAGTTTAAAAAACTTTCCGTAATTTTCAATACTTGAAAAAACTTTGATTCGGAAATTTTTCTACAAAAATATATTTTCTAAATTCTAAAAAAAAAATTAGTCTTTCATTTTTGTATTTGATTTTAATTGATTAAAATTGGTTCACCAACCAATATACACAAAGCTTTTTATAAGTATATTAAAGAGAGTCAGAATGAGTTCGCCGTTTTTCCCCAGGGAGTTAACCATATAGTTATATGTACAGTATACATTTATAGACTCTGTTGTAATTCTTTGCCAATAAAAATTGATTAATTTCCGGATTTTTATAATATAAATTAAATTTTTAATAAAAAAAAAGAATAAAAAAATATATATGTTCCAAAATAAGAATTTTTTAATTTTTGGAGTGAAACTATAAAACCGCAAGAAATTCATATATATAGAAAGAAGTACACTGTAAAAAATTTTTCGGAAATTTTTCCGAAAAAATACGGACAGCACGGAACCCCAAGGGGTGGAAATATTTCCGAATAAATAGTAAGAATTATCTCCGACATATTTCGGAAATTTTTCCTATTAATAAGTCGGATTTTTTTCCGAATTAGTCGGATATTTTTCCGAATTAGTCGGATATTTTTCCTCATATATATTCGGTATTTTTTCCGAACTTACTGGAAAAAATTTTTCGGAAATTTTTCCGAAAAAATACGGACAGCACGGAACCCCAAGGGGTGGAAATATTTCCGAATAAATAGTAAGAATTATCTCCGACATATTTCGGAAATTTTTCCTATTAATAAGTCGGATTTTTTTCCGAATTAGTCGGATATTTTTCCTCATATATATTCGGTATTTTTTCCGAACTTACTGGAAATTTTTCCTCTTGTGAATCGGATTTTTTTCCGAATCAATTGGAAATTATACCCACAATGAGGTGGATTTTTTTCCGAATTTGTCGGATATTTTTCCTCATAGTTATTAGGTTTTTTTTCCAAAGTTATGGGAAATTTTTCCTCCTGTGGGTTGGATTTTTTTCCGACTTTGTCGGATATTTTTCCTAATATTTAATAGGCATTATTTTCAAATCTATCGGAAATTTTTCCTCCTGTAAGTCGGATTTTTTTCCGAATTTGACGGATATTTTCCTCAATTTTTTTAGTATTTTATCCAAATCTATCGGATATTTTTCCTCATATTTACTTATCATCTTTTCCGAATCAATTGGAAATTATACCGACTATTTATGCGAATATTTTTCCTATCATTAAGTAATAATTTTTTCAAACTAATCGAAAATTTTATCCTTATTTGATAAATAAAGGCTATAAATAAAGAAATAAAAGTTTGTATAAAAAGTTACATTTATTTACAAAACGACATAAAAATAATTCTATTTGAATTCTATTAATATTAAAATACTTAAGTATATTTTTTAAAGAAAGGCAGAGGTGTATATTTTATAATATTTTAGTTTCAGGAAATTACTTTTATGAATTGAAACTGACAATATTTGCAATTAACCTCATCACTTTTGAATCTTCTTCCGTTTTTTTTGATTTATTTTTTCTTCCTCTCTTGTGTCCTGTTTGTGGATTAATGTCCATTAACATCCTAGAAAAAACAAATGTTTCCATTATTTATAAAAAGTAGTTAGTGATGTTTAAAAAAAAGTTAAATTTCATTTTGAGTTTAATTTTTTGATTAATGTTGCATATTACTTAGAAATACTTATAAAAAAACTTTTAATATACCTTTGAATGAACTCCAATGAAGATGAAATATTTTCACCATAATTGTATCCATACATATAATGGCAAAGGCAAAACAAAAGTATTCCTTCCAAAACGCTGTCAGTCTGGACTAATATTGTTTTGTCCATTATAATATATATATTGGAAGTTTCATCATAAATAGACACTCCTGTAATCATAATTTTAAAAAAATATTTTTTTAATATAACATAGATAAAATTTAATATTAAATGCAAGTACATGAATATAAAAGGTATAATATTAGGTGGTTATTATAATATACCTTTTACAACTAGGATGGGTCGATTTGAATCATTATTTATATTCATAATATCCTCATCGGTAGCAGTTGAGTCCTAAAATTTTAAATATAATTAAGATATTTTATTTATAATTGTAATTGTGATATTATAGTGTTTTATAACTTACAATTAAGCTTAAGAGATTCATTTCATTGAAAAAAGTAGGTATCAATTCAATGAATGCCAATGCTTTTGGAAGATCACTTCTTAAATTGGTACATTTTATATTTACATTATTCAAAATCTCTTGTAATTTCTTGACTTTTTCTGGAACATATTTTAATTTTTTGTGTTTATGTACGTAACTTCGAAAGTAATCATAAATAATACATATTTTTTTAGAAGTATTTTCTATCCACACACTTAAAACGTTTATTCCAATCAGTGTGGAGCAATGTGCCAAGAAATGCCTTTTTTCAGACAAATGGGGCCAATGTTCTTTTAAAATCTGGCTCAGGGATAGATTTAACATTTCTCTCTTATTAATACAAATTCTTTGCGACGGGTATGTTTCGGCTAATAGATTATATTCTTCCTCTACAGTTATTGGTTTTTCTAAGGTAAAGGATTGAATCAACAATGTTTTTTTTAACATTTGACTTTCTTTTGTCTCTCCCTCTGGTAATGCTGGTTCAAATGCCACACATCCGTACTTATCTTGATTCTTTCCATATCTAGTAATACTGACTTCATTAAGGGATGTTTCGTCGTTATCACATGTATTTTTACGTTTCCTTCCGTGAGATAATTTCCTGACTCGATCATAAAGCCTCGTCTGTAATTGAGATACGCCTGAGCAATACACCGTATTTCCATTCCATGTTTGATAGCCAAATACTTTAGGAAATTTATTTACTACCAACTCAGCTAATTTTTTGCAGGTCCCTAAGGAAGTATCCTTTATAATATGAAGTTGATAATTTCCTACATTTTTAATTAAATCCAATTCATAAGATATAGGTTGAGAGGCTTCGTTCATCATTCCTAATGGAATAATTTCGTTCCATGGTAGAACAAGATTTTGTACTACACTACTGCTAGGTCCACTCTCATTTTCATTTAGGGAATGATCATTTTCTCCCCGGCCTGTAACAAAAATGTATTCATTATAAAGAATTATAATTATAAACTTCAAAGCATTTTTAATCAATGAATAATATTAATTTTAATATTATAAACATTATTTTTTCTGATTATGCTTGACAAATGTATAATAATATTTAAAAATACCTGATATTACTGTTGAAGACTTATTTATTTCACTTCCAAAGTCTTTCTTCTGCCATTTTTCATCTCCTATCAACAACATTAACAGTAGAGGCGAGTTGGGATATAAAGTTGATAACTTCTCCAAAAGCTCAAATCTTTTAATAGATGTACCATCTTCTTCAAGTACAATCTGTTTGTATAAAAATAAAAGAATCAGTGTCATGTAATATATGTAATATATGTGTAATAATTGACTTAAAAAACGGACCTTGCATGTAGAATCGAAGGAAATTCCTAAATTATCGCAAGCATCAATCAACAATTCTTCTAAATTACTTCCACTAACCAAAGATCTTTCTTTTCTATTAGCAGTGGTAATTTTAAATAATCGAGATGCCATGTTTTAATGTCAACTGTAAATAATAAAATGAATATTATTAAAGTATTATAAACTTCATTTAAAAACGTTATTTAAATTCCTATATAAATATAACATTACCAAAATTATTTAATGTACTTCTTTGGCTAATGAGTATTCGTGTGCTTCAAAATATACATATATATATATATATATATATATATATATATATACAATAGCGGTTGGTTATTTTAGAGTTTTTTAAAAATTATATAAAAGTATACTTTATTTAATAATGTATTTACAAGTAAAATTGTAGGAAAATGCATATACTAGCATAAAGGACCAGATGTTAATCCATGTTTCAATTTTACGTATGAAATAGAATCTTGAATGTATACATGAAGAGGGCTGTAAGTTAACAAATTCTGAATAGAAACACATTCGTATCCAATAACATTTCCAAGTTCGTATAATCTTAAGTTCGGAATAAATATTGTTTCCACCATTTCTACGACAAAATGTAAACAATCTTCTTCGTTACATAATATGATTATTATCCTTCCCATCTGAACTTGATACTGATAAGCTTTTTGCCGTATTGCAATAGCATCTTCTTTCTTGTAAAGGTTTCCCCTAAATGTGGCAGCAGACGCTTCTGTCAATTTTCCTCTTAAATTTGCACTTGTTATAGCTTCTTGAATCTCTTTTGAGTAACGCAAAGAAAAAAATTCATTTTCATTAGTGAGATTCAGCTCAAATCGTAGTCCAACACCCGAACGAAGGATACTTTGTAGAAGCTCATGTTTTTCAGACAATGTTAAAGTTACGTTTTTAAAGCATTTTAAATTCCTCATTGCTCTTTTGAAAAAAGTGTGCTTACTTTCAAATCGAAGTGTAAATACTTTTATTAAGGGGCCGAATTGGTATATAAGTTCAGGATAATGTGTTAAATAGTGGTGTTTAGGACGCAATTTTACGTTGGGAAAATTTTTTTTTCTCATGTAAATGTATTCATTGATGATGGATTGTAAGTAGATTAGATACGATTTATGAATTTCTGGTGCGCACACTATCTCTATAATTTCAGTCAATTTTAGAAGACAAAGCCAAACTTCATCGTTAGGATCAATTTTATCTATGATAAGTAAAGGAAATAAGCGAAGGAATACTAGCACTTGCCAAGCACCACCAAGAATTCTACTTCCTTTATCTTGTATTTTAGTTGGTTTATCTCTTTGATCATGACTGCTGTAATTAAAATTTTCTATTCTTCTATTTAATAAGGAAAAAGAAAACCATTTTTTCGAAACAAAATAATATATCATTAGCATCAAATCATATGCTACTATTCCTTCGAGCAAATCGTGACCAAAACAGGGTGGTAATCCAGGATTGCAAACGTGAAATCCTTTTAATTTGTTAAATATGCTGTTAAATTTAACACCTTCGTAATGTTTATTGTTTTTTCTAATTTTCATTAAAGACTTATTATATGAGTCAACTGTCCTCTTTTGATATAAAATTGGAATGTAATTTTTATTTTCTGTATCTTCTGTTTCTTCATCATCTTCTTCCTCTTCTTCTTCATCTTTATCATTATCATCTTCTTCTATTGCTTCTTCTTGTTCCTCTTCTTCTTGTTCTTCTTCATCATCTTCTTCATCATTATCATCTTCTTCTATTGCTTCTTCTTCATCATCTTCTTCATCTTCATCATTATCATCTTCTTCTATTGCTTCTTCTCTTAAACTACATTCATTTTCATTTTGACTAAGGGCTTCAGTTTCTGAGCTATCATGTACCTCATCAGGTTTATCATTTTCGCCTTCAATATTCTTCGGAGTAGATACATTTTTTTTATTATTTAAAAATTCATCCCTAGTCACAAGACAGTATCTGCAAATATAATGTGCCCTACTAAAATTTTCAATGAATCCTCCAAGGCCGTGGCCTCCCAAATTGTCAGTTGATATAAATGAAACTGAGCCTTTTATAATATTATTTGGCGAAATTTCAATTCCATTATTTTCAAGTACTTCTAAGTCCTTGACAATTCTTCCATACACTTTTTCATGAGAAAAATATTTTTCAGGGCAGAGAGCAACAAGTTGAATAGTGTTTATGTGTGTTCGAATGTAGTCCGGTAAATTTCCTAAGCATAAATACACTGCCAATAATTTGTGCTTTACACGGGCTGCTCCAATAGGGTTAACTATTTCAAAGCTATCTTGATATAATACCAATCGAAGTGAACTTGAGTTTTCATTGAAAAAAGAATTTTCTCGATAAGAATTTCCATCAGTGAAATCTTTAAAAATTTCCGAATCTTTTCTTTCTAGAACATCAAGATTAATATCAAACGATTTGTCTTTAAACATGGCTTTTAACGTATCAAGAATTGGAATATAATGAAAATGCCGCTCTTTTCCATTTATTTTCCCTAAAGGTATTTGTTGAGGAGGAACATATGTAAAACGTTCCTTGTATAATTTGTGTCTTTTATATTTTGACTTTAAATCTGAATAAGTTGAAGAAAATGGATCTTCCTGTAAAGCAGCATTAATAATTTTATCTGTTTCAATATCATTAATTCCTGCTGTTAAAAGTTCATGTTTTAATTTTAATTTTACCATATCCATTCGTAAGTTACTAGTATTAACTGTAGCGTCAACAAGATATTGAATAGTCGACTCGGGAACTAAAAATTCAGCTTCCAATTTTAAATAAATTTGTGCCATGTTCATTAAATAAATATCATTCATTTTTTCTGGGGAAACTTGATTTTCTTCTTGTGTATCATTTTCAAGATAGCTTTCAACAGGAATTTCTGAATGATCAACAATTTCTGTTTCTTCCCCCTCTACGAATTGTGTACTTGTTTCCGCATTATCTTTACACTGAATTAGTATTGGTTTGTGATATCTTGTCAAATGGGAAGTAAAAGAGCTTATCTTTTTATACACTTTTTCGCAATTTGGGCATTTTACACTTTCGCTTCTCCTTAAATGACATTTTAAATGTTTTAAAAAAGATTGATAATTATTGTACTTCTTTGAACATAATGAAACAGTGCAATTAAAAGTAGCATCTTCATTTCCTAAATTTTGTCTATCATTTTGATATATATTAAACGGATTCCTAAAATTGTGTTTCCTATGTATATGCATTTTGAAACATTTTTCTGTTTTAAATACTTTTTTACAATTGTTCCAACCACATATGTATCCTTTTACATGTTGATGAAACAGTTTCTGATGTTCCAAGTACTTTTTCAAAATTGACGTTTGATAATCTTGACATAACCAGCAAGTATACATTTTAACTGTAAAAATCAATTAAAAAAAATTATTTTACTTTGAAATTCATCAATACTCATTGTGAATTATTGTTCTAATATTAAAAAATACATGTTTATCATACATATGCATATAAATATAAAATGGCATAATAATAATATACAGAAAGAAAAGCACCACGGTAGTTATGCATGCGTTGCGCATAGGTTTGTCTCACTCGTACTCATAGGCTGTGACTAGCATGGTGCTTTTCTTACGCCGACAATACCGTAATTGAAATTAAGAATATATTCTTAAATATATTATTTTTAATTAAAGAATATTTTATACTTAAATTCCGTATATATTATACTTAAAATAAGAATATATAGGGGAGAGTGACAAACAGTGGGACACTTTTTTTTAAAGACATATTAATATGTGAATTTTATATATTTTTAAACACTTTTTAGTATTACCATAAAGTTTGAACTCTCTTTTCTACACAATGCCCATATTCCATTAAGATTATATTGTGATTAAATAAAAAATTTGAAGTTTTAGAAACTTGATACATTTTTCTTTTTTTGAAAGTTTGTGTTTAACAGTGGGACACTTATTAAGAACCGAATAATTATTTCAATAATAATATTCTGCTTCATACTTTGTAAATATATATTTTTTCCATTAAATAACGTTAACAAATGTTGCAAAACACTTATTATTATATAATAATAAAATTATTATAATAAAATCTGTCCTTCTGTCCTAACTTGAAGTTGGCCTTTTCTGATTTCACGTGTTTTTTTGAATAGTACAAGATACACAATATTAATTATAAAAATACAGGCCTCGAATCAACTTAAAGACACAAAAAGTCGTTTCAGTCGATTTATATTCCAAAAAAAGTGGATTTGTTTTTTATTTTAACAAAAATATTTTACAGATTTTAAACTAAAAAATTTTTTTTTAATAATAATCCTTTTCGAAGGGTTAAAGTTGAAATTTTTAGAAATAATTAAATTTCAAAAGATATTGTTAATTTTCAAAAAATTATTAAATTTTACAGAAATAAAAATAATTTATCAAGTAATTTTTGGAAAACATTTTAAATTTAAAATTTAATTGAATTTTCAAAGAATTTAAATTTAAAATTTAATTGAATTTTCAAAGAATTTAAATTTAAAATTTAATTGAATTTTCAAAGATTTAAAATTGAGATGTATGAAATTAATTGATACTTTAAGTGTTTTGTAATTAAAATTTTAGATGATTTCACTAAAAATTTATTAGAAAATGCGGACAAAATACAATAATTTGAAAATCATTTTTAATTGAAAAATGGGTTTCTTTAAGTAGCTTTTCAGATAATTAAAGTGTCCTACTGTTTAAATTGTCCCACTGTTTCTCACTCTCACCCTATTGAAAAAAAACACGTATAAAATACGTATATTTATACGTATTATTATACGTATATTTATACGTATTATTATACGTATAATTATACGTGTTTTTTTAATAGAGCCCCTACTGAATTTAAGTATAAAATATTTTTAAATATGCGCCACTAATATATATTCTTAATTTCATTTTTTCCTTAAAAAACCACTTCTTCCACAATTTTTATTATATTTTATCGATAATTTTTTTGTAAGCTTTTTCATGATTCTGAATAATCAATCGTATAGATTTTTAAAAATTGTAATATTTTCAAAAAATAAAATTTCTAAAATAGCGGACAAAGTCCGTTGTTCCTAACTAAAA